GGGAGGCTGGGGCAGCAGGGGCCTGCTCAGGAGGACCAGAGGACAGAATCAGGCCCGGGACATAAGGAGGGACCTGCTGAGAGAGAAGGATCCGGGGCTCAGAGTGGACCCCACCCCCTGCTGCACGGCTGGCACCTGAGGTCTGGGTACTGGGGGGCAGTACTCTGACCTCAGAGGCCTTGGGATGGGGCAGGGTGGTGGCCCCTGGTCTGTCAATGGAGAAGATCCTTTCTCTGGCCCATGTCTCTGGCCGGTGCCGACGGCCCCCAGCCCACCCTCTGCCCAGGCCTGGTTTGCTGGAGCTGGAGGTGACTCCCCCTGCAGCAGAAGGAGAGACAGCAGCTGGCCGGTGAGGTCAGAGGTCACCTGCCTGGGGGCTCCTGGGCTGCCCGCCCGCCGCCGGCACTCCGCTCCGCCATGGCTTGGAAAGGGCCCAGGTGGGGGCTGTCAGTGTCCAGAGGGCCCTAGCCCCAGGCTCTTGGCACTCAGAGGTCAGTGGAAACCGGAGCTCTGTTTGTCCAGCTCTGTGGACAAGCACGCTCCAGGCCCAGCTGCCAGGGATCCCCAGGCTCGGGGGCCCGCAAGAGTGAGGCCAGGGCCAAGAGGGGGCTGCCGCCCTTTCAGACCTCAGGGAGCCGCTGGGGGCCAGGGCTCAGAGGTGGTCCCAGGAGGAAACCAGGGTGTGGAGCAGGTAGGTTTCGGGTGAGCTGGGGATGGCCCCCAAGCCAGGGAGACTGGCTGGCTGCTGGGAGGTCCCCGCCCCTCCAGGTGACCCAGCAGACCCCCACAGGAGGATTCTGCTTGGGGCTGTGTGTGGGGCTGTCCTAGGAGACCCGGGCACGCTGGACTTTTGCCACCCCATCCCCCACCCCAGCTGTCTGTCCAAACACCTGCCTGGTCTCGTCCTCAGGGCACTGGGCGGTGGACTCTCCTCCCCCACACATCCATCATGTGACACTGCCTGGCGGGGCCCTGCCTGTGTCCGGGTGAGCCTACAGCACCCCTGCCCTCTCCCCGTGGTGCCAGTAGCCCCTTTCCAGACCCTCATCTTATCCCTTAATTTAACTGGCCCTTCTGGAGGTCTGGCCTCCGCCTGTGGTCTGAGAGTCCCAGGAAAGCCTCTTGTCCACTGGCCTGCTGGTGGGCACAGCTCCTGACCCCGGCCCGGTGGGTGCTGCTGTGCCCATGGGCGGGTGGCTTGGCCTGACACAAGAAGAAGTGGGAGGGTGGCCTGGCCAGAGACTTGGGGGCTTCCGGTGGGAAATGCCAGAGCTGGGTGGGCAGGGCGGCGGCTCCCAGGGCCTCAAGGGCCAGCCTGGGTGCAGGGCCGGGACAGCCCGCTGGGGTTGAGGACAGCTTCCAGTGGGGGCCTGGCGTGCAAGGCAGGGTCCAGGAAGCTGCTCTGAGGGCTTGTGTGGGCTGGGCAGGAGGGGCGCATCTCCTATGCTGCCTGTCTGGCTGCCTTTATTAAGCACCTACTATGTGCCTGACCTGGGCCCGGAGCCTCCGGGTCTTAGTTCCATCTGTCTCTCCCCCACGCCCCTTGGCAGGGCACCACCACCCGTCCATTTCACAGATGGGCGGCCGCAGGTGTGCGGGCCTGCCCTGTCCCTCTGTTCCCAGCCCCCAGTCCAGAGACCGGGAGAGCCTTGGACACGGCGATGGAGCCCAGAGCCTGCGAGGTGCCATCCGCCTGCCCGCCCGCCTCCCAGGGGCACGCTGGTGGGGGAGGGGGTCTGGGGTAGAGGAGGGGGCGCTCCAGGAAGGGGGCGGCAGGGCAGCCCCCCAGCCGTCCTCACCCTGTCACCCCAGCAGATGCTCCTAGCACCCATTGGACACTGAGCACCTCAATGAGGGAGCCCAGTTTGGAGACAAAGGCCGGGCGCTGGGGACAAATACTCATGGACACTGTCAGCAGCGAGAGCCAGGCAGCCGCGCGAGGCCCACAAAGGGGCTGGGGGAGGGGGCGTGAACGGCCTGGGCTGCACTTGCCACCGTTGCCCGGGCGACGGCCCTCTCCCGGAGAGGTCTGCTGGGCCATTGTCCGGGGCACACAGGACGTGTCATACACCAGATGGCCGTGTGCTGTCTAAGTCAGTTATCGGGGGACAGAGTGAAGGAATGCGGCCGGCACGGCGGGCCGGGGCGCCATCTGTTCCCGCAGACCGCGGGCACCGGGCGGGCACTGAGCGCCCGGCCGGCCTGGCCCAGCCTCCACCGCGGGCTTTAATTAGCTAATTCCATAATTGGGCTTTATTTCAGGTAAATTGCATTTCACACCCGAGAGGGCCGCAATGGGCCGTCCAGGAGTGAGGCACTCGGGGACTCTGTGTGCAGTCGATAATACGGGAAACAAAGCTGGGCTGGGTGCGGGGGCCGTGCCCTGCCCAGATGGGCGGCCCCGCGCCGAGCGCACCGAGGGCCGGGGGGCCGGGGTGCCGGGGCGCCGCGGAGGGCCCTGCTCTCCCGCCAGCCGCTTCCTGGGGTTTCCACAAATATTTACCCAACAAGGAAACAACAGCGTTTGCCTTTCCAGTAATTGTTGCTCCCGCCCCTCCCGGTGGGTGCAGGCAGGGGAGGCCCCAGGCCCTGGCCGTCCCTCCTGCCCTCCCCCGCCCTGGCCAGTGCTGGTCGTCCCGATACCCAGTCCCCACGGTGGGAGGCCCTGGGGAGCACGGACGCAGTGGGGGTCAGCAAAGTGGGACCCTCCCTTCCCCCTCCATAGGGAGCCTGGGTTGCCTCTCCTGACACGGGCCAGCTGGCTGCTTCCAGGTGTCTTGGGACAGCCCCGTCCTCTAGAGGTCAGCTGCCACCAGCCCTCACGGCCTGCGTGCGGGTGCAGACGGGCTCTGGAAGGAGAGCAGGAGGGCAAACCGTCCTGGAGGAGGGTGTGCACAGCGGGCTTGCCCACTCCGCCCGGCTGATCATGCCTGCATCTGTGAGCTGAAGAGGGGGACTTGGTTGGGGGGCGGGGTGGGGGGCGCCCAGGGGGCAGGGCGAGGGCGGGCTGGCTCTCCCTGGCATGTGCCCCCAGCCTGCTCGAAGCTGGGCAGCCCCAAGGGAGCTCCCTGTTATCGCAAGGAGACATCAGGGCCTAGAGGGGGGTGGGGATGTCCGTGTGGGGGCTCCGGAACCCAGACCACCCCCTGCACGTACTCCCGGAGGGGCCAATCTGTGCTCCTCGATGGTCCTGCGCACGCGCCCCCGCCCCGGTAGAGCTCCTGGGTCCTTGGTCAAGGAGGAGCCTGGCCTGGGAGGGGCAGACAGGCCAGAGTGTGTCCCCTGAGGTGGTTACCCCCAGCACCCCAGAGGCCTGGTCCTGGCAAGGTGCTCACCTTCCCAGGGGCTCAGGGGCTGCTGGGAGACGGGCAGTGACCACATGTTCACCACGGCAGGTGGTCAGAGCTGCCCCAGGGGGTAGCCCCAGGACCACAGGAGCCCTGAGCAGGAGGCACGCCCACCTGGGCCGGAGCGTGGGCTGGATCCACGGCCTCCGTGAGCAATCTGAACCCTGACCCCTCCTCTGGGAAGTGAGTTCCTATTCAGCAGCTCCTGGACACTTGCCTCTAAGCAGGCCCTAGGGGACCTGTCCACCAGGCAGGAAGGGAAGGTGGCGGGACCCGGGAGGAGGTGGGAGGCCGATGCCCACAGGTAGGCAGGCAGCGGAGGGCAGGGTGCCCTCCCCTCTACACTAAGCCCTGAGGCCCCACCCCCAGTGCTCGACTGGGGACAATGACCTCACCGGTCAGCCCTGTCCCGTCGAGGGGTCCCAAGGCCTGGAGGGGGCTGCCGCTCGTGAGCAGCTTTCAGGGAGAGCTGGCTGCCAGAGGAGCTGGGCCACAGACCAAAGTGACTCGGATAGTGGTGAGGGGGTGAGGGCCGGAAGAGGCGCCCACAGGAGCAAAGGCTGCAGGGCAGGACTTCGTTCGGTCTTGGCCACGCTCTCTCCCTCTGCTCAGCTCTGTGGACAGAGCTGGCCTCGGTGCAGGCTACGGGGCTGGGGCAGTGACGGCCTGGCCTCAAGGTTCTTCTGGGTCCCTGGGGCGGGGGGTCCTCCTCCTGGAGAGCTGGGGCTCCGGCCTCTTCCCCTTCCCTGGGTTGGTGCAGACGGCAGCGCAGGCACTCGGCGAGGCGAAAGCTGGGGTTGTGCCTCCACGGGACGGAGCTGTCCCGAAGACGGACCTCTCCCTCGGGAATCAAGACAAGTGCAGGCCCGAGACCAGCTCCGTGACTCCACGTTTATTAGGAAAAGCGCCACAATTAAGGGTCAAAATCACACCGTGAAACTCATTAAAACACAGATTCCAAATCACCACAAATTATTCTGATTTCTGTGAGCTGAGATGCCCAGGAGGAGCCCCGTCTTGTGCAGGGTCTGAGAGACCCTTACGCCTGCCCCACGCTCAGCAGCTGGCCGGGGGACGGGGCAGTTCTGGAGTCTTTCTAGCTGCCCATACCCGGTGGGGAGCTGCCGTGGGGGCTGTGCGCAGGGCAGGGGTCAGTGGGAGAAGTTGCCAGTCCACAGTGGGGGACAGTCCACCCCCACGGAGCACTATGGGCACCATGGCGGGCCGGCCCCCCTGCTGGACGTGGTGGCCTCAGGGTCCCTCATAACCCTGGCCTCTGAGCCAGTCTCTGCAGGTGGAGAGCACGGCCCAGGCCTGGATCGCCGGCACCCTCGGTTTGGCATGGGCTGGGCCTGCCCTGCCCTGCCTGCCTCCTCCCTGGGTCCTGGGTTCGAGGCTGAGGGTGGGTACCCACAGACCCTGTCCTGACTGCCCTCTGTCTCCTCCCAGGAGGCCCCCTGGGGCCTAGCAGGGTGGGCCTGCTCACACCTGTGTTTTGTCAGCCATACATGAAGGGACCAAGTGCCTAGGATGCCCGGCCCCCCGGGGTCGAGACTGAGCCCTACCACTGTGTCCCAACTGCCATACAAATCATGTGGGGGTCATGGTCTCGAAGCCGAGAGGAGGCCTCCAAACCCAGCCGCGTTCTAGTACCCGCTGGCTGGAAGAGGAGGCCTCGTGACTCCCAAGGCACAGCCTCTCAGGGTGGCGTGGCCCATGGGGGGTCTGAGGCCTGGGAGGGAGGGGCCAGTGACCTGGGGGGGCGCCCCTCCCAGGTGGGAGGTGGGCTGGGCCGAACTGGGCTCCTCCGGCCCTGCCCTCGCAGGCCTGGGGCCCCAAGCCCCCGTCAGGACCCCTCATCGGGGCCCCCGCGGGGCACAGTCAGCTGCTCGTAGGTGGGGAGGGCGCCGCTGGGCAGGAAGAGCTCGGGGCTGAGGGAGCCGCAGGGGGGCGGCGCCTGGGCCCCACCCCCGCCGGGGGTCCGGTCGCCCAGCCGGCCGCCCTGGTGCAGGGAGAGGAGCTGGCGAAGCATGTCCGTGATGAGCACCAGCCTCTGGTCCAGCTGGGCCACCTGCGGAGACAGGAGCGGGTGAGGACGGGGGCAGCCCGGGTGTGCGCGACGCCTCCGGGTCTGCGCCCGGTGAGGGCTGGGGCCGGGGAGGTGCCGGGGAGCAGGGCCCAGGGTCCCTGCCCACCGGAGCCGTGCGCGGGCCTGTGTGTGTGCGGGGAACGAGGGTGTGGGTGCGCGCGGCCCTGAGTGCGTGTGTAGGCGCGCGCCCGTGTGTGTCGCGAATGCGGAGGAAGCCCCGTCCCCCGCAGGCGCAGCTGGGACTCCTGCTGGGAGGGCTGGACGGTCGTAGGGTGGGGTCCATCTTCCCCGGCCCCTCTGCCCCCTCGCGGCAGCAGCACTGTCTTCCCAGGGAGCCAGGAAATCAGGACCCGTGGGCACCCATCGTCCAGCGGTCAGGCCGGGGAGGCCCCGTTTCTGGCCACGTGGCCAGCCCCGCTCTGAACACCGAGGCTGCCGATGGGAGCAGATGGGGTCACCCTGTGGGACTGGAAGACGCGGGCGCAGCATGGGCTGGGGCCAGGGGATGTGTCCCCGCAGCCGCTGCCGGCGGTGGGGGGGTGCGGGGCTAGGAGTGCGGGGCCTGAAGGCAGCCCCGGGCAGCGCAGGGCGTCCCGGTGGACCCAGGGCAGAGGGCTGTCAAGCGAGGGGCCCCTGGCCACAGGGAGTGCAGGGACCGCGAGCTGCAGGCCTGTGGGGTCCGGGAGCGAGCCAAGGTCGCTGTGCGCATCAGGGAGCAAAGAAGCCCCTCTTGCAGCTGCCAAGGGCCCCTGGAGCACCGGACAGCCTCGGGACGGTGGGGGGACGGTTCTCCCTGAGGGCTCTGCCCAGGGCCAGCCTGCTCCCCGGGATACCCCTGGGCCCACAGTTGGCTGCTGCGCCCCTTCCCCGGGACCACGCAGAGCTGGGGGCTGGCTGCACCGCCCGGGGGAAGCTGCTGGTGGGCCGAGTGGCCCTCAGCCCCATGAGGGCTGGAGGTCAGGAGCTGGGTCCCCAGGGCGGTGGGCTCCAGAGGTTGGCTGCGGCCAGCCCTCCAGCCCACGGCCGATGTTGAGCTGCAGGGGAGGGGAGGGGAGAGGCTGGCGGGAACAAGACGAAGAGGGCTCTCTCCCAAGAAGCGGAGGAGTCCCTTATCCTGAGCCAGGCAGGGCAGGATGGGGGCCAGAAGGAACCCCTGTTCCAGCAGTCCTCCCCCTCTGCTGGCAGGGCTGTCTGGGAGGGGGGCCGTGCCCTGCCAGGCGACGCATCTCCCCAGCTTTGCAGGGCTGAGGCTGGTGCAGTCTCTGCTCCTTGCCGGTGGCTCTGGGTGTGAGAATTACCTGTCTCAGGCCCCCTAGGAGAGCTGCTCATCTGAGGCCCCAACACCTGGGCCCAAGGGACCTGCTCCTCTGTTTTCCCAGATAAATCTGACACGGGAGCCCCGGCCATCAAGAGAAGGGGTGTAGGACTTCTCTGGTCTGGCTCGGGTGGGGCCTGGGACCACTCAGCTCTCCTAGCCCCCAAACTGAGAAAAGCACCCCAAACCACAGACACAGACCCTGAGGCCCCAGGAATAGAAGGGCCTTGTGCCTGGTCACCAGCTGGGACCCTTGGCTCTACCATTGCAGCCCTGCAAGCCCCCCCGCTGGGCTCCCGTGCTGGGAAGACACGTGTGTCCAGGCGGGGAGGGGTCAGGGCAGCTGGTCGTGGGAGGGGGTGAGAGCGGGCTGGGGTGGGGTCCTAGCTAAGCTCAGAAGGCTGGGTGGACACAGTGAGCAAGGCAGGAGGGGACATGGGGTGTGGGGACTTGGCCCTAAACCCCATCCCTCTTCCTGACCCAAGACCCCCCTGGGGCCCCTTCGTTCTGCCTCCTGTGGGCGCCCTGGGAGGCCCCCGGGAGGTCGCCTGGGCTCCTCGGGCTCTGCACAGCAGTGGCTTTGAGGGAGGCCTGTGCAGGTGTGGCCGAGTGTCATGCGACTGCGCAGGCCCTGCTGGGTGTCAGTCGGTGTGGCATTAATTAGAGCATGGAACACGTTACAGAAGAGCATTTGTGGTTTCATAAATTTTCACTCCATGGCACTGGAACATCTGTTGGGGCCCCCAGATGTGTAAGTGGGCACAGAAGCCTTCACAGGGTGTTCCCGGATAAAAAGGAAACAGAAGTGTGGCTGGGAAGCAGGAGGAGTGGGGGTGGCTGGGCGTGGCGGAGGGACGGGCTCTGTGGTCCTGCCATGGGGTGCGCTCCAGCGGACAGTACTGGGGCAGGCAGGGGTGTGGTGAACGTGGGGTGGGGGCAAGCCTTCTGGACCCCTCCCGGCCCGTCCCCCCTCCCTCCCAGAGCTAGGCCCCCTCCTAGAGCTTGGTGGTCACACTGAGTGCCGGCCCCGTCCCCCCAGGACTGCCCTGGGCTCAGCTGCTGGCTCTGAGCACCCCGAGTGGGCCGTGCATTGCCCCGCCCCCCAGCCCCCGGCCCCCTCAGTGGCTGATGGAGTCAGACTCGCTTCTGCTCCGGAGTGGGGCGCCACAGTGGTCCCAGGACCCACTCAGCAGCCCCTTGGCCGGGTTTCCCTCCTTCTCTCAGGCCTGCGGGCTGAGGAGGGCCCCAGCCAGGGGGACAGGTGGGTCGCTCCTGCTTGGCCTTGGGACCTGCTCCGTCCCTTCTCAGACAGATGGCCCCCAAGGTGGCCTTGTCCCCTCCCTTCTCTGCTTGAGCACAGGGTGCTTCCCCCCCATTCACACGTAGGTGGGACGCTCCATGGCCAAACCCCAGCGGCCGAGAGGGGCATCCACCTGGCGGGTGCCCTGGGGATGGCAGCCCCATGCGCTGGACCATGACGGCGCTCCCCGGAGCCACAGGGCAGATCAATTTTGGGGAACTCGGACCTCACGGCTCCTGGCAATCTGATAGAGACTACAAGGACGGGGCCGACAAAGGGCCCTTGTTCCTTGCCTCGACTCACCAGATTAATAACCACAGACGACACACGCGGGCCTCCGAGGAGAAAAAAGCAATTAGACTAACAGCTAGCGAGAGGGCCCCGGGCGGCCGGCGATCAAGCCCGAGGCGGCGGGACTCCTGTGTGATGTGGTTATGAATTTGTTTTCAAAAGAAAATCTTGAAAAAGAGTCTTTCAAGCGAGATTTTTATAGGACCTGCTCAGCCTTGATTTTGGCTTTCGACCTGCTGATGGCCCTGACCGCTCTGGGGGGGACATGGAGGGCTGGGGCTGGAGGGAGGCACCCGTGGTGCCCTGGGTCCCTGCTGGCTGGTGTCTGGAGGTGAGGCGGAACCTCCTGCTGGGACATCCTAGAGCCCTCTGCAGGGTCCCTGAGCCCTCCTGTTTGCAGACTGTCCTGGACCCCCCTGGGCTGCAGGGAGTTGGGGGGCTTCTAGGAACAGGAGCACAGAGCCCTAGCTAGCAACACCCTGGCACGCACACCGGGGACACGCTTCGTGACGCAGCCGTGATCACTGCGCATCTGCACGCTGGCTCTGCCCTCGCTTCATCCTCTCCCTGCACTCCTCATCCCTCCTGCAGGGCCTGGCTCTCCCTGGCGCCCCTGCCCCTTTCACAGACACCAGGAGGTGTGGGAGTGAAGGGCTGGGTTATGGGGGTGCCGTGGGGCTGCCGTCGGAATCCATCAGGTGGGTGATGTGGCCGAGTTCCGGCTGTGCCTCTGGTTGGTCCCTGGAGACACAGCTGGGGGCAGGTCTAGGAGGGGCTCATGGGAGGGGTCCCCGGGGCCACCCTCCCAGCCCCCACTCTGGCCAGGCCAGGAGAGAGCCCTGTGCTGGAGAGCTCAGGACAGAAGCCCACCTCCCCTGTGCAGGGCCCCAAAGCCCCAGCCACTCCTCAAAGTCTCGTGGTTATGTGTGGAATCACCCCTCCAAACACAGAGTTCAGGAGAAGCCCCAGCTTGGGCAGGACATGGGTCTGAGGAGTGAACTGGTGTATAGGGGTGTGCGTGCCCGGCCCGTGAAAGAGCCTGGTCATGCCAAGGGGGAGCCTTGGGCTCTGCTGGACCCAGGGAGGGCTTGGTCTGAGAGGGGGGACCCCCACACTGGGTCGCGGGGCCGGTGAGCAGATTCTAGGAGGTGGTCCTGGCCCCTTACGCAGGACTTCTGAGTAGTCTGTCCCCATAGAATGCCATGCTCGTGCCCCCCTCGTGGGCATGGCCCCTGGCCTTCACTCTGAAAGCTGCTGCTGGGTCAGGGAGGGCAGTGGGGGTCAGAGGGACCTATGGCCTCTGCCCCCTGTGCCCACCGAGAGAAGCCACAAAGACGGAGCACTGGCTCCGTCTGGGGTCTGCCTGCCCAGAGCCCTCTCTGCTGACCATGACCAGAGGGCACCCTTGTGTGACAGGTGTAGGCCGCTGTCCTCTGGACCTCTGGGCCAGGCTCAGGTCAGGGACGCACCCAGGACCTGCCCATCAGCCCCAGGCTGAACTCAGACTGTGAGAACACAGCTTCCTCCACCCCATCTAGGTCCTTCCACCTCTCTGGGCCCACCCTGTTCCTTCTGAAGTCTTTTCATCTCGGAAAAAGGCTCCAAATTCAGCATCATGCTTGGTGCTCTGTCTGTCGGCAGAGCCTGGGGGACTCCTCCATGGCCCAGCCCAGACTAGGCAACCAAACTCTCTCGCTGGGACGGGTGCAGTAGCCTGCCAGCCAGCTTCCCGGCCACCCCCCAACGTGCTTCTACAGGCCTTTCCAAATACATGATAGGTTATGCTGCTGTCCTGCTTACACCCTCCTGAGCAGTCATCCTATTACCAGAAGACTGAGTCCCTATGTGGTCTGCGGCATGCCCCCCCAGCCCCCCTGCCCTTGGCTCTCTGGCCTCCCTTCCTTCCATCCTCTTCATTTGCTCCACTCCAGAGCTCTGGGCTGGTACACGTGGTGGCCTTTGTCCGTGCTGCTCCTGCTGCAGGCATCAGTCATCCCCCCACCCCCCAGGGTCTCACCAGCATCACCAACCTGAGGTCAAATCCTTCCCTTGCCATTACCACCCGATCCCCCAAGA